CCCCCCGTCCCCCCCCCCCCCCCCCGGCGCCTCCCCCTCGGCCCGACGGCGCTCCCAGGAGCCCGTGCCCTTGCAGGCCGTCGCCGCGGCCACTCGCACACCTCCGCTGCCCCCCCCTGCTGGGTCGGTGCAGCAGGGGCCCGGCCACAAGGAAACCTTCCACAAGAAGCCAAACCCTGAGACCCCAGAACGTCCACTGGTTTTTGGTGTGGGAGCGTCACGCTTTCCATAGCAAAACCATGGAAACCCAAGAAAACTGGGCACCCTGGAGGCGAGCAGGGTTTTCTTGGCATGGGTCTCCACTGTAGGCTCTGCCAGGCCCGCCCAAGCACTGCGCCACCCCTCCACCGGAGGAGCAAAAAGAAGACAACAAAAAACTGCAGAAGCACAGATTCTCAACGGTCCGCGCAGATGTCTTGCATCAGCGCTGGCCCCCCCCCCTGGCACGCGGAGCGCGCCAGGGGCGGCGTCAGAGGCGCCGCCAGGGTGTGCCAGCGCCGATCCAAGACATCCGCGCGGCCCTTCGAAAACCTAGAATTACGCCATTTGTCCTGCTTCGATCCTCGGCGGCGAGCGTTAGGGGAAACTGAGGAGAAAGCCCTCACAGAACGCGCAGGACTTCTCAGAAAACCTCGCGCCTTCTCATAAATGTTTGTGTGTCTTCGGGGAACGCTCAGAACACTTCTCAGAAGGCCGGGGGACGTCCGAGCCTCTTGAGAATAGGAGGCGCGCAAACATGGATGATCGATCCTTGGATTTGGCGCGCGGTCGCCAGATCCATAGATCGGGTGAGGTGCCCTCCCCCAAATGCGGGCGGTGCCGCCTCTCTCGGCGGCGGACCCCCCTCAATTCCACAGGAAACGGGACCCGTCGCTAATCCACGCCCCCTTGATCCATGTTTGCGATCTCCTGGGAGAATTGAGCAGGGACCGACCGTCCCCGTATTCTCATAGGCATACCACGAACTGTTCTTAGAACCCACACATGTTCTAAGAACAGGAACAATGTTCTTAAACTATAAACACGATGTGTTGGAACAAGACAGTCCCAGGCAGAAATATTATAAGAACATGTTGTGGAAACCGCAAGCGGTACTTAGGACATTCTTTGGTAGACCTATAGGCGAGCCAGAACGCGTCGCCACTGCTCGAGAGAAGGCATCCTCCTCCTCACTTCCCCCTCCCTCGCTGGCCACCGGATCCAGCAGACTGGGGCTCTTCCCCAACAGCGCGCTCGGCTCGGGCGAGTGCCGCCGCCCGCTGCTCGCCCCGCAGCGCTCGAGAGAGGCGGGCCGCCCTCGAGACCGCCGCGGGGCGCTGCCAGGGGGTGGCGAAGGCGAGCGGGCTCGCGCCAACTGCGCTCCCGCCCGATATCCCTGACTGAGGCAGGTTCCTCCTCCTTCGCCCTCTCCTCCTCCTCCTCCTCCTCCTCCTCCTCCTCCTCCTCCTCCTCCTCCTCCTCCTCCTCCTTCTGCTCCTCCTCCTGCGCGGAAATGCACGGTCGACGCCAGCGGCGGCGTACGGAGGGGCGACTGTCTTAGGCGGGGGGCTCGAGGGTCTCGGGCCCCCTCCCCCTGCGAGGGACCAGGTCTGGCCGAACACGGCGCACTCCTCCCCCCCCCCCACCACCACCACTGGCCCAGCACTCCGAAGACGATCGGGATCGCTCGACGCTCGCTCTCGCCAACGCTCAGATTTTCTCTGAGCACCTGCCATCTTCACACCACCTCGTCCGCCCGGTTTCGAAGAGCCTCGCCGCCTGATCCTCGAATTCCGAGGTGCGAGCTCGTGGCAAGCTCAAGCTGACAGGGAAGACGGCCCTCTGCTGTTCGCGGCTCTTCCTCTCTGAAGCCCCTGCGGGCGGGCTGCGCTCCAGTTGAGGAGGCTTTCTGCGCCTGCCAGAGTGTGGATGTCTTGCTGGCCGCTGGCCCAGTGGTCCCAAGAGACGTCTCGCAGTCTACGATGTTGATAGGACGGCCTCCTAGGCCACCTGTCTTCGCGACTGGTGCCGCGCGAAGCGGGAGGCGCGGCTATCGTTTCGCCTTCGTGCTGGCCGCTGGAGAAAGATACCTCTCCGAGCCCAGCCGCGAAGCGCGAAGAGCGCTTCTGTTCGCGCCCCTGCAGCACCCACGGTCTCTAGAACATTGGCCTGCCACCAATCAGTTTAGGGCGTATCACGATGCTACTGTGCTCTGGCCGCATGAATGAAAACGGTGAGGGGGTGAGAGAGAGAGAGACTGCGAGAGGAATAAGGGAAGTGAGACGAGAGGGGCTGGTGACACTTCGGGTTGCGCTCAGACGCCCTCCCCGATAGTCCCGGCTGGCCTCGTTAGACTCCTCAAGTAGCCTGCGGCGTTCTCAGCACCCTGGCGCCGCCGCCTCCGACGGCACCTCCAGGGCGATCCGCGGCGCCAATCACACATCTGCGGGGGTCACGCCATGCCCTACTGCACGGGCTCACGATGATGTCGACCGTGCATTCCCCTTCACCCCTGGGCCTTTGGCGTTCTTCGGCCGTCTCTCCAGCGCTCGTCGGCGCCATGCCCAAGCACCCAACCCAAGTCATGCCGGGGAGAGGCAACCGCACGACTGCCGAGGACCTGGAAACACACGCGCAGCTGGATCCACGCGTGGAGCATCTGGAGGCCACACGCTGGATGCCCGCTGGATGCGCCCAGCGCGGATGGCCACAGAAGGGCCGGGCGCTGGGCAGAGGTGCAGCTGCACGTGCCTCCAGTTCTCGCCCAGGCCAGCCACGCTGTGTGTATGTTCAGCCTTCTGGTGCACAAGGTTGGGGCTAAACCTCCGAGCCTCCTGGCCTCCTCTCAGATCGATGGCTCACGGACCCACGGAGTTTCTCGAGGGCCACTGCTGGGACGGCAACGCCTAGCTGATGGCATCGGTCGGTGACAGGGCTCATGCGCAGGCACCCGAGGCCCAAGACTCAGAAGCAACGGTTAGAGTTTTATCAGCTCAGCAGCACAGCTCCACCCGGAGAGCACAGCAAAACTTCAGTATCAACTCTTTTGCCTGAAATTGCAAGCCGTCATGCGAGACTTGCCGCTGCAGTCGAGAATACAGGCGCCAGTGGGTCACTCAGAACCGCAGTCTGAAGGAGGGAAAGCTGATGAACACAATCCTTCGAAGGCATCGCAGCATCCTCGTGATCATCTGCTCCTAGCAAGCCTCCGACAACAAAGCCGGACCGCCCAAGGTTCTTCACGTGGAAATTCAAATAATGGGTGCCCTGCTGCGTGCGCCCATGGGTAACTTTCAAGTGCACTTCCCCCAACGTGATCCAACTTGGCGTTTCATCGCGCACACGCCGAGCTTGGAAACGGAGACCCACTCCACCTCTGCGATATTTCTTCTCCACCCAGTCCCCTGTGACATTAATTTCTTGGAAATACATGTCAGAGCACTGACTGCCCAATCGACGTGCCTCAGCCTCTACACGGAGCAGCACATTCTCAAGACGCTCTCCTCGTGGAATATGAATCAGAACGTGCTTGCCAGGCCTCATCAGGTCGAATCGCTCGCCAAAGACGTTTTGCAAATGCGGATCACCAGTGGCGGCCACGGATCCGCTCGCCACTCCAGAGATTCCGGCCGCCCCCATGGGAGCCCCGGCAGCTTGCATGGAGTCGGGAACGTCGGGCGGGAGGAATCCATTCGCCACTCCGGCTGCCATGGGGGCCAAGGCAGAATGCATTGAGTCGGGCACGTCGGGGGGGGCGGATGGATACGTCGGGTAGGGCGTCGGGTAGGGCGTCGGGTAGGGCGTCGGGTGAGAAGTCGGACTGGGCGTCGCAGTGATGTAGAAGATGTCGATGACGAGACTCTCGATGGCCATCCCTGCACCTGAAAAAGATGGTACGACTGCATGGGTGCCCCAAGTCCAGTCCGGGATGCCTGATTGGTACTTTGCGCTTGTCGCTGTGCACGAGGTACAATAGTTCGAGTTGCACTGGCATGGAACGCCATTCTGGCAAGAGCTAGAAGTGGCTGTCACTCCCGCCAAGGTCAACTGAAGGCTGCCGATACCACAGATATCCCCTTGGGCTCGCACAGAAAAGTGAGTCACAATCGCACCCTCACCTGGGTTAGGAAAAGACACAGATGGGAAAGTACGAGTTGCAGTCGCATTCGTCGAGTTCGTCACGTACTGATACGCCAATCTCCCGCATGTCAGGCAATGCGGAGAATCCTTGGCCAGAGACGAGGTTGAGTAAGTCCCAAGCCCCTTCTGGCGCCGCGTCGTATTCACACCTACGGTGTGAACATCTCCCCCACCTGGAGCATGAACGATGACCTCAAGCATAGACTCCTTGCTCTCCTCGAAGGGGTCCGTGTGCACCATGATCGAGGTCGCGGTGTGTAAGCAGTAGAGAGGAGCTGCCACAAACCAGATAGTCCAGGGTGCCGTTTGAGCTGCCATTCTTCGTATTGGGACGGTATGAAAGTAATAGGTCAAGGAAAAGTCAGTGAGTATGTGCGCAAGCTGATCGGCCTCACCTGAGCAAGACAGAGTCACAGTAGCTTGAGCTAGGGATCATTGGGCCAATGGCAAAATCTGAGAACCTTGCGAAGCTCGCAGCGAGCCCTCCCAAGATGAGGGGAGAGAGGGATTAGCAGGTTGCATCAAGAATGAATCCGATGTGTTGTCATGGTCTGTTCATCTGGGCATGTATATGTGTGTATGTGTGAAAATGTATGTATATATACAGAGATATAAAGTCTGTCGACCGCTGTTCATCTCGCCCTTGCCCCCCTGCGGTCCAACATGCTGGTTGAGCCCCCCGGGGCCCGTGAGCTCGCAAACGCTCCTTCTGGGGCTTCTGGATTCTAGAGCCCCCGAAGAGCCCTAACAGGACCCAGAGAGCCCAAACAGAGCGCCAAGATGATCCAAGAGAGCGTCGAGCCGGCCCAAGGTAGCCCAACGACAGTTCAAGATGGCTTGAGGGCGGCCCACGATGCCCCGAAGAGGGCCCACGAGTGCTTCCAGAGGACCGCCTAAAAGGGCCCCAAGAGGCAAAACTCGTTTCATCCCTTCCGGGAAACATGCATGGTTTTCACACTCGCCTCCAAGGCAGCCTAAGGGACCCCGAAGATCGTCCCAAGACGGCCCATTAGGCCCACAAGAGGACCTCAAGCTGGCCTCACAAGGGACCCAAGACGGCCCCAGGGGCTCCCAAGACGGCTCAAAAGAGCACCAATAGGGCCCCAAGAGGGACCCAAGAGGGGGAATACCGATTAACCTTTCCAGCCTCTCCCTCCCCGAGGCTCCAAGAGACCTCCAGAGGCCCCCGAGGCGCCACCAAGAGGCCCCAAGAGGCCTCCACGAGGCTCCCAACAAGCCCCCAAAGGCCCCCAAATGCACCCGAGAGCCCTCCATGAGGCTCAACCTGGGGGGCCAGCCGAATGGCGTAAGCCTATTGACTATACATATCCTCTCAGCGTTTGCACTTATGCAGGATTCCTTACGTCTGATCCTTGAGGAATTGGATGGGTCAGCCGAGGTTTCGCCTGGTGCCCGCCAGTGAGTGCCTCGTGCGCTGGGCGGCCGCATAGGCCTCACCACAGCTTTTACCACATAGTTGTCACCATGTAGCCTGAAACAAATGCTTATCCCAGTGCGACCCTACCTAGGAGTTGGAGCATTTAGGGAAGCAGCACCTACATCTACACCGACAGCTACATTGCTTGCTATGCTGCTGTTGCTGCTGTTACTTTGCCTTTGCGCTGCTGCTGTGGTATGCTATGCTATGCTATGCTATGCTGGGCTATGCTATGCTATGCTATGCTTTGCTATGCTGCGCTATGCTATGTTATGGTATGCTATGCTAGGGTACGCTCGACTGCGCGGTGTTATGCAATGCTATGCTGCGCTATGCTATGCTAGGCTATGTTACGATATGATATGCTATGATTCGCTGCGCTATGCTATGCTACGCTATGATATGCTATGAGTTGCTGCGCTATGCTGTGCTATGCTATGCTGCGCTATGCTATGCTAGGCTATGTTATGATATGCTATGCTGCGCTATGCTATGGTATGCGATGCTATGATTTGCTGCGCTATGCTATGCTATACTATGCTGTGCTATGCTATGCTATGCTGCGCTGTGCTAAGCAATGCTATGACATGCTAAACTGACTTATGATATGATACGCTAGGTTATGTTATGCTTGTCTATGATATGATATGCTATGTTGTGCTAATGTTGCGCTGCGCTAAGCTAAGATAAGCTAGGCGATGCTAAGCTAAGCTAAGTTAAGCTAGACTAGGCTAAGCTAAGCTAAGCCAAGCCAGGCCAAGCCAAGCTAAGCTACGATGAGATGATATAAGTTAAGCTAAGCTCAGTTAAGCTATGCTAGACAAAACTAAACTAAGCTAAGCTAAGCTAAGGGGGGCGTAACTGGGGGAACCGCGGGGCGGATGCGGGGGGAACCGCCCGGGGCGAGTTGCACTGCAGGGCCCTTTAAGCATACCGAGTAGGAACCCTTCTAGGCAGAGCCTAGGTAGGGAATTTACATCGAACCATATCCGCAACAGAGCTCACACTACACATCTATCTGCGCAAGTACGGATACACATACATATATATATATATATATATATATATATGTATATATACAGATACATATATATATATATATATATATGTATACATCGGTGTGTGTGTGCTGGTTTTGTACAGAAATGCAAAGGTATGAACCGCATAGCTTACATCACCGAGCTTGCATAGCTTGCACCGAAGAGTGTGCACCCGAACCGTACTCCTTACACCACACAACTTACACCACACAGCTCGCACCACATAGCTTACACCACAGAGCTTGCAACTCGCGTAGCTTTCACCACGTAGCTGGCAGCACACAGCGCACACATCCACAGCGCAAACATGTAGCATTCGGGGCGCACACACATATACATTCGCCGTAGCCGCCCCGTCGCCGTCTTGTCGCCGCCCGTCGTCTGGGCCTGGGTGGCGATCTAGCGGCTCCGTGCTCGCCGTCGCCGCCCCGTGGCCGCCTCGTCACCGCCCCCCGTTTGGGCCTGGGTGGCGGTCTAGCGGCTCCGTGCTCGCCGTCGCCGCCCCGTCGCCGCCTCGTCACCGCCCGTCGTCTAGGCCTGGGTGGAGGTCTAGCGGCTCCGTGCTCGCCGTCGCCGCCTGTCGTCTGGCCTGACTGCACAATAGTGGTTCTCCATTCTTTAAAGTATTAAGATCTCCCCCCATCCATCCCCCTGGGTCAAGGGGCCACCTTGCAATTTGCATACGAATCTGGCCCATCGTCAATCCTAAAATATGAATTCATACAATCCCAAGCAAGCCAGTGTCTGTTCCCCCCTCATCCTCAGCATAGAATACTATGCGCGCGCACTCGTTAGCCCAAACACATAAATTTTCAAGTCTACATTGCAGAAGAATCAGCGGGACGAAGTGCGCACGCGCGCATGCCGAAATCTCACAGAAACCTTAGTTTTCGCAAGGCTGTCAAAATCGAGTGTCCCAGAAACATATAAAATCACATGGCTTCGAGGGCCACTGCTGGGACGACAACGCCTAGCTGATTGCATTGGTCGATGACAGGGCTTCTGCGCAGGCACCCGAGGCCCAAGACTCAGAAGCATCGGCTGGAGTTTTATCAGCTCAGCAGCAGAGCTCCACCGGAAGAGCACAGCAAACATCAGTATCAACTCGAATGTGCAAGCCTGAAATTGCAAGCCGTCATGCGAGACTTGCCGCTGCAGTCGAGAATACGGGCGCCAGTGGATCACTCAGAACCGCAGTCTGAAGGAGGGAAAGCTGATGAACACAGTCCTTCGAAGGCATCGCAGCATCCTCGTGATCATCTGCTCCCAGCAAGCCTCCGACAACAAAGCCGGACCGTCCAAGATTCTTCACGTGGAAATTCAAATAATGGGTGCCCTGCTGCGTGCGCCCATGGGTAACTTTCAAGTGCACTTCCCCCAACGTGATCCAACTTGGCGTTCCATCGCGCACACGCCGAGCTTGGAAACGGAGACCCACTCCACCTCTGCGATATTTCTTCTCCACCCAGTCCCCTGTGACATTAATTTCTTGGAAATACATGTCAGAGCACTGACTGCCCAATCGACGTGCCTCAGCCTCTACACGGAGCAGCACATTCTCAAGACGCTCTCCTCGTGGAATATGAATCAGAACGTGCTTGCCAGGCCTCATCAGGTCGAACCGCTCGCCAAAGACGTTTTGCAAATGCGGATCACCAATGGCGGCCACGGAACCGCTCGCCACTCCAGAGATTCCGGCCGCCCCCATGGGAGCTCCGGCAGCTTGCATGGAGCCGGGAACGTCGGGCGGGAGGATTCCGTTCGCCACTCCGGCCGCCATGGGGGCTAAGGCAGAATGCATTGAATCGGGCACGTCGGGGGGGGCGGATGGATACGTAGGGTAGGGGGTCGGGTAGGGCGTCGGGTACGGCGTCGGACTGGGCGTCGCAGTGATGTAGAAGATGTCGATTACGAGACTCTCGATGGCCATCCCTGCACCTGAGAAAGATGGTGCGACTGCATGGGTGCCCCAAGTCCAGCCCGGAATGCCTGATTGGTACTGTGCGCTCGGCGCTGTGCACGAGGTACAATAGTTCGAGTTGCACTGGCATGGAACGCCATTCTGGCAAGAGCTAGAAGTGGCTGTCACTCCCGCCAAGGTCAACTGAAGGCTGCCGATACCACAGATATCCCCTTGGGCTCGCACGGAAAAGTGAGTCACAATCGCACCCCCACCTGGGTTAGGAAAAGACACAGATGGGAAAGTACGCGTTGCAGTCGCATTCGTCGAGTTCGTCACGTACTGATACGCCAATCTCCCGCATGTCAGGCAATGCGGAGAATCCTTGGCCAGCGACGAGGTTGAGTAAGTCCCAAGCCCCTTCTGGCGCCGCGTCGTATTCGCGCCTACAGTGTGAACAGCTCCTCCACCTGGTGCATGAACGATGACCTCAAGCATAGACTCCGTGCTCTCCTCGAAGGGGTCTGTGCGCACCATGATCGAGGTCGCGGTGTGAAAGCAATAGAGAGGAGCTGCCACAAACCAGATGGTCCAGGGTGCCGTTTTAGGTGCCATTCTTCGTATTGGGACGGTATGGAAGTAATAGGTCAAGGAAAAGTCAGTGAGTATGTGCGCAAACTGTTCGGCCTCACCTGAGCAAGACAGAGTCACAGTAGCTTGAGCCAGTTAGGCCACATGATGAACATGGCTAGAGATCCTTGAACCACTGAGAACATCTAAGACCCCTGCGAAGTTCGCAGCGCGCCTTCCCAAGATGAGGGGAGAGAGGGATTAGCAGGTTGCATCAAGAACTAATCCGATGTGCGTGAACATGGTCTATACATATGTGCATGTCTACGTGTGTATGTGTGAACATGTCGATATACACATCTATATATATATATGTATAGAATCAGTCGACTGCTGTCCCTCTCGCCCTTCCCCCCCCCACCCCTGCGGTCCAACATGCCCGCTGAGCCCCACCCCCACGGGCCCATGAGCTCGCAAACGCTTCTCCTGGGGCTTCTAGAGCCCCCGAAGAGCCTTAACAAGACCCAGCGACCCCAAACAGATCGCCAAGATGATCCAAGAGAGCGTCGAGCCGGCCCAGGGTAGCCCAACGACGATTCAAGATGGCTTGAGGGCGGTCCACGATGCCCCGAAGAGGGCCCACGAATGCTTCCAAAGGACCGCCTAAAAGGGCCCCAAGAGGCAAAATTCGTTTCGCCCCTTCCGGGAAACTTGCATGGTTGTCACGCTCGCCTCAAAGACGGCCTAAAGGACCCCGAAGATCGTCCCAGGACGGCCCATGAGGCCCACAAGATGACCCCAAGCTGGCCTCACAAAGGACCCAAGAGCTCCAAAGACGGCTCAAAAGAGCACCAAGAGGGCCCTAAGAGGGGCCCAAGAGGGGGAATACCGATTGACCTTTCCAGCCTCTCCCAAGCCGAGGCTCCAAGAGACCTCCAGAGGCCCCCGAGGCGCCACCAAGAGGCCCCAAGAGGCCTCCACGAGGCTCCCAACAAGCCCCCGAGAGGCCCCCAGATGCACCCGAGAGCCCTCCAAGAGGCCCAACCTGGGGGGCCGGCCGAATGGCGTAATCCCATTGACTATACATATCCTCTCAGTGTTTGCACTTCTGCAGGATTCCTTACGTCTGATCCTTGAGAAGTTCGATGGGTCAGACGAGGTTTCGCCTGGTGCCCGCCAGTGAACGCCTCGTGCGCTGGGCGGCCGCATAGCTCTCACCCCACAGCTTTTACCACATAGCTTTCACCACATAGCCTGAACCACACGACTTATATCGATACATATCCGCACAAGAGCTCACATGATACATAGATCTATGCAAGTACGGAAACAGATGTCTAAACATACCTACCTGTGTGGTATATTATATAAAAAACATATGTGTGCTGGCTTTGTGAAGATGCACAGACATGCACCGCATAGCTTACACCACCAAGCTTGCATAGCTTGCACCGCAGAATTTGCACCCACGCGGCTCGCACCACATAGCTCGCACCACATAGCTTACACCACAGAGCTTGCAACACATATGTTGCACCACATCGCGTAGCTTTCACCACGTAGCTGGCAGTACACAGCGCACACATCCACAGTGCAAGAATTTAGCATTCGGGGCCCACGCTGGAAAGCACACGCGAACACACATATACATATCCACACACACATTACTACTCCAGACCCCCCTTAGTTCTCTTCTGAAGAACTCGGTCTGGGTGGCGGTTTGGCGGTTTCGTGCTCGCCGTAGCCGCCCCATCGCCGCCTCGTCGCCGCCCGTCCACTGGGCCTGGGCGACGGTCTAGCGGCTCCGCGCTCGCTGTCGCCGCCCCGTTGCCGCCTCGTCACCGCCCGTCGTCTGGGCCTGGGTGGAGGTCTAGCGGCTCCGTGCTCACCGTCGCCGCCCTGTCGCCGCCTCGTCGGCGCCTGTCGTCTGGCCTGACTGCACAACAGTGATTCTCCATTCTAAAAAAAATATTCGGATATACCCCCCTCTCCCGGGGTTAAGGGGCCACCTTTTCGTATTGCAATTTGCATACGATTCATTCTGCCCCATCACCCATCCAAATATATGAACTCGTATAATCTCAGGCAGGCCGGTCTCGGTTCCCCACTCATCCCCAACATCAAATACTATGCGTTCGCACTCGTTTGCCAACAAAACATGCATTGTCAATGACACCTTGCGAAAAGACGGGGCGAAATGCGCACGCGCGCGTCGTCGTGCGCGTGCATGCCGAATATTTTCCGAAACCCCAAATTCCCAGTCACACACACACACACACAAAATCACGCGGTTTCACAAGCATGTTGAAAACAAATGTTGCGCTCGGGATCTTGCATATGCATTAGAAAACCATCGGTTCCCAACATTTTCAAACATTGCTACCGGGCGGGCCTGTCGTGCACTCGCGGTCTTGCGGAATCTTAAGAAGCATTCACATCACATTCTGCCAAGCGGGATTCTTGCGCCGCGTGTCGAATTCATTCAAACGCCCTTGCGCGCGCACTAGTGGGGGAGGGGGGGGCGCGATCTGTGTCAAATAACACCACGCAGACCACTCCCTCGCGGCGGCCGCGGCGCATGTCGAACTCCTTGAAGAACCTTCATCGCTGACGTGAGGACATCATCATTGTTGTCGGCGGGCGTGGTCAACACCGGCGCCGGGATTGGGCTTGCCGCCGTTATCGCCACCATCATCGTTACTTTCAGAATCGTTCTTAATGTTGCCAGCGTCAACATGATACCAGGCCCACCAAAGGCACCGACTCGCGCTGAAGTGCCCGCTGGGAAGTGCCCAGCGGTCAGCGCCATCGCGGCCGCGTCAGGCGTGCCAAACCAGCTGGCCGCCGTGCGCGCGAACATGCGCGGGCGAGCGAAGCCGCAGGAAAGCACATGCCAACACCAAGCACTCATCGCAATCGCCGCTGCATAGGTTTTGCAAACCGAATTGCGGGTGGGTGGGTCGGATGGTTGCAAAAGCATGGGATGCGCCACCGTGTTTGCAAAACTCAATCACACCGCATGCGTTGCACCACCTAGGCTGCACCACGTCGCTTGTACAGGACGGATTGATTCACATGAACTCTCCTTTCTAAAAAGAGAATAGGATCTACCCCCCGGCGTTATCCGTCTCCTTTCGGGTATGTAAATCATATATGATTATGACCCCATGTCCATCCTAAACATGAATTTGCACTATCCCCGGGGGGCCGGTATCCCCTGAGGGTCCCTTGTTAAAAAACACGATGCGGTTACATATTTTGTTCTAACATAGCACTTGTTCACGAATCGTTTGCAACAGATGGGACGAAGTGCACGCGCGCGCGTCGTCGCGCGCGCATGCCGAAATCCTTCCAAAACCTTCGGTGCCGGAAGGATTTCGCAATCGAGTCTCCAACAAACATACAAAAACACAGGGTTTCGCAACACTGATTTGCTGAAAAAGCTTCCGCGCGAGCTCTTGCGAAATCTTAAGAAAACCATAGGTTTTTCAAGATTTTCACAAAATGCTACCAAACGGGCTTCGCGCGCGCGCATGTCGAAATCTGTCGAACGCCCTTGCGCGTGTGCCGTCGCGAGAATCCTTGGCAAAAGACGGGACGAAGTGCAGACGCGCGCGTCGTCGCGCGCGTATGCCGAAATCCTTCAAAACCCATCGGTTTCGGAAGGATTTCAAAATCGTGTGCCCAAAAAACGTACAAAAACCCCAGATTTCGCAACACGGGTTTTCAACAAAAGCGTGCGCGCGCGCTGTTGCGTCGTCGTCGTCATCGTCGTCGTCGTCGTCGACGTCCTCCCTCCTCCCGCGTCGTCGTCGTCGTCGTCGCCTACGCCGTCCTCTGTCTTTCCTCGTGTTCGTCGTCATCGTCCTCTTTGGCGTCGTGGTCGCTTCCGTCGTCGTTGTCGCCGTGGTAGTCCTTCCTCCTCCTCCTCCCTCGTCGTCGTCGTCGTCCGTCGTCGGCGTCTCGTCGTCGTCCCTCCTGTTTCGTCGCCGTCGTCGTCGTCGTCGTCGTCTTCCTTCCTCCCTCGTCGTTGTCGTCGTCGGCGTCGCCGTCCTTCCTCCTTCGTCGTTCGCGTCGTCGCCGTCCTCCCTCCTCCCTCGTCGTTGTCGTCGTTGTCGCGTCGTCGTCCTTCCTCCTCCCTCGTCGTCGCCTTCATTGGCGTCATCGTCGTCGTCTTCGTCGTCGGCGTCGTTGTCGTCGTCGAAGTCGTCGGAGACGTCGTCGGTGTCGTCGTAGTCGTTGTCGTCGGTGTCGTCGTAACCGGTCTTAAGAGGTTTTGCAAACCAATCTGCGGGTGGGTGGGTGGGATGTTTGCGCGAGCAGTGGAGATGACGGCTTCAAGTTCAGCAGAGTGGTTTGTCCACCATCTAGTGCACCACGTAGATTGCACACCATAGGTCGCACGACATAGATTGCACAACATAGCTCGCACAGTACAGATCGCACCACACAGTCTGCACCACATAGATAGCACGCCACATATTACACCACACAGGTTGCACCACAGACCTCCTTCCACATGGACTGCTCGAATCTTACGGTCCTGGGTCCACGCTTGCTAACATACATGCGTATCCCAAGTCGGGGGGGGGACCGAAGTGGAGCGGAGACCCCCACCGGCTCCGGTGTCGTGTTCGTGTCGCGCGCGCGGGCGAAGCTGCGTGCGCGGGCGAACAGAGTGATCCCGCCGCAGCTGGGGCGAAGTTCAATGAAAAGTTCCTCCCCCGCACCGTTGGCGGTTTCTGGGGCGGGGTTTGCCCGCGGGCGTCCTGTGGTTGTCCCGCGGCTATCCCGATGGCTGTCCCGATGGTTCTCCCGGGGTTGACCCGGGGGTCGTCCCGATGGTTGTCCCGATGGATGTCCCGACGATTGTCCCGACGGTTGTCTCGACGGTTGTCCCGACGGTTGTCCGGTGCTTGCTTCGACGGTTGTCACAATGTTTGTCCAGATGGTTGTCCCGGCGGTTGTCCCGACGGTTGTCCCGATTGTTGGTCGTGAGATCGACAAATAGTAAGCT